GTCTTGCGAACTCACTACTTGGGCCTAGACTTAGTCTTGTGGCCTACCACGACTTTAGGGGAGTTTGTTGACCCATATCTTGTATAAATACTACACTATCTTGGCATTATAGATCATGTTCAGTTATATCTTGTAATCTCATTACACTCTTCATTAATACAAGTCTTATCTTCTCGAGCTCAATATCTTATCTTTTTGTACCATTATTCCTTTATTGTTTGTTTCTTTATTATCGGATTATTTGATTCGGTCTACCCAAATTAAGTTAATCCATCACTTTCTATAAAAAAAAAAAAAAAAATGTCAAATAATCTCAACCATTTATTTGAGTAAGGGTTGGAAAATAAGAAGAATAAATGAGAAAAACATAGTGTCATTTTTGTAATTATAAAAAGTTTATAAAATTTATCAAATTATCTTGCATTTTTCTTTTATTTTTAGCTATTGATAAACTCAGATAAATGTATGTGATTATTATGTATTTTTTGCAGTATGTATTAGACTCACTTGAACTTGCTCATATATAAATATATTAGCATGATCAAATGAGAACATAATTCTCCTGTAAAAATTGCGCACTAATCTCAGCCACTCATCATGGTTCATTAGTGGTTGATGGTTTAGTAAAATAAAAATACGCTATCAATTTTATAATAAAGTTTGCAATATTTATAAGAGTAAATACTCAAAATGGTCTCTCGACTATAGATAAATTTACAAATTGGTCCTCGACTTTCAATTTCAACCAATTAAGTCTTTAACTTTGCAATTTTAACACAATTTGGTCCTCCGTCAATTTGACAGTTTGTTGACCGTGATCTTTGAGGATATATATGTAATTTCACGATTCTGCATTATTCGCCGCGGTTCTGCATCATCGCCGGCGGCTGCGCCGTCATCGACGATCTCCAGAAGAACCTGCAGCTCTCGTCGGAGCACATGGAGGCCTCCAGGATGACGTTGCACCGTTTCGGAAACACGTCGTCTTCTTCGCTCTGGTACGAACTCAACTAGAGTGCGATCTGAAAATGCAACCGGAACCTTAAAAAACTGACAATGGACCATGAAATTACATATATATCCTCAAAAATCACAGTCAACAAACGGTCAAATAGACAAAGGATCAAATCGTGTTAAAATTGCAAAGTTAAGGACTTAATTGGTTAAAATTGAAAGTCGATGACCAATTTGTGAATTTAGCTATAATCGAGGGACCATTTTGGGTATTTACTCTATTTATAAAACAAACATTGCTCTTTTTGTTCTTAGTTTCCAGCAATCTTTAGCCATTCATTTATCCAGATGGATGAATCATATCAGTTGTTACTTTTAAATGCGAGCATGTTCTAACCTAAACGCTCCGCCATGTAAAAAGTGAAGATTGATTTGATCCATCAATCTGGGTAGATCAACAACTAAGGATTGGTAGAAAGTAAGACAAAAAAGAGTTGAGTTCATTTTATAAATATTGAAAACTTGAAAACTTACAATGATTACAAAATTGACCATGTATTTTTTTTTTTTAACTAAAACTTTCAACCATTGATAAACCTAATGAACAATTAAGATCAATCCTCATTTTTTACAAGAGGACCATGTTATAAGTCAATCCTGCTTTTATATATATATATATATATATATATATATATATATATATATATATATATATATATATATATATATATATATATATATATATATGGAAGGGTTCAGGTGCAATAAAAGCTTCCCGTGCGGTTGTGCGGTTGACACACCTTAAGCATTAAAATCTAAATCAACGGCTCAAATCAATAAAAATTTAAAAAAAAAAAACGCGTGTCAGGAAGACACATTAAGTGATAGAAACACGCACCTTAAGCATTAGAACAACACACCTTAAGTGTTATAACAATGCACCATAGGTGTTAAAATTGCGCACGTTAAGTTTTGTTCTTGAGGGTCTTAACCACCCCTCAGTTCAAAAGTTTTGTTATTCTTGTGGGTCTGAGCCACCCCTCATCAGTTCAAAAGTTTTATTCTTCTTGAGGGGGTCTGAACTACGTGACTCACAGAGAAGGGTGCGCAAAGAAGAAACAGGACGCACATTAAGCACAAAATCTATGCACCTTAAGCACAAAACTCAGGCAACTTAAGTGTTAAAATGACACACGTTAAGTTTTGTTCAAAAGTTTTGTTCTTGAGGGTCTGAACCACCCCTCAGTTCAAAAGTTTTGATCTTCTTGTGGGTGTGAACCACCTCTCAGCTCAAAAGTTTTGTTCTTCTTGTGGGTGTGAACCACCCCTTAGTTCAAAAGTTTTATTCTTCTTGAGGGTATGAACTACCCGTGACTCACAGAGAAGGGTGCGCAAAGAAGAAACACGACGCACCTTAAGCACAAAACCCATGCACCTTAAGCACAAAACTCACGCACCTTAAGTTTCAACAACTACTCACATTAAGTACAAACACACGCACTTTAAGCACAAAACCCACGCACCTTAAGCACAAAACTCACGCACCTTAAGTACAAAACTCACGCACCTTAAATTTGACCTAGTTACAAAAATTACCAAATTGCCACCGCTTTTTTTTTTTTTTTTATAATTTTGGTAATCCTGGACGTTGATTTAAACAAAATCAATGGCTTTCCTCTCACCGCGCCTGGGGCTGCCAACCGCAACAGAACATATATATATATATATATATATATATATATATATATATATATATATATATATATATATATATATATATATAGAGAGAGAGAGAGAGAGAGAGAGAGAGGATCAAGTGAAAAAGAAGCCTTAGGTGAAAAATAAGATTTAATCCCACAATTGATTCAGTCTAGATCAACGTTCAAAATGAAGCAATTTAAAAAAATGCAATGATATTATGGTAATTTTGTGTAATTAAGTTAATTTTTTTTTTGCCAGACCTTTCAGTGCACATTGTCCCTCCTTCCAGAGCACATTGTTGTGACTTCAGATCAACGTTCAAAATGAAGCAATTTAAAAAAAATACGATGACATTATGGTAATTTTGTGTAACTAAGTTAATTTTTTTTCTTCCTGGCCTTCCAGTGTACATTGTCCCTTTTTCCAAAGCACATTGTTGTGCCTTCAACCTTTATATGTTTGTAGGTGTTATGTGTTTATATATATATATATATATATATATATATATATATATATATATATATATATGTATGTATGTATGTATGTATGTATATATATAATTTAAAGAGAATTTGATCTTGAATGAATCACTAATTACTATTTTTAGTTTAGTATTGTGATCGTTTATAATTTGTGTTGAAGATCATGTATTAAATTTAGTCTTTTCAATAATTATTTCATATTTTCTACCTTACCATGCACATTTTTGTCTTTCCAGAGTTCCAGTGCACATTGTTCCTTCTTCCAGAGCACATTGTTGTGCCTTAGAGTGCTCATTGTTGTTCCTTCAACCTTTAAACCTTACCATGCACATTTTTGTCTTTCCAGAGTTTCAGTGCACATTGTCCTTTCTTCTAGAGCACATTGTTGTGCCTTCAACCTTTAAAATCATATGTGTGTGTGTGTGTATATATATATATATATATATATATATATATATATATATATATATATATATATATATATATATATATATATATATAGAAGGATTTAAGTGTGGGTTAGGTTTCCCATGCGGTTGTACGATTGACGCACCTTAACAAGATCCCAACAGTCACATGATCAAATTTGAAATTGAAATTTTAAAAACATGATTATTGTGGCAGTGTGGCAATATATAGTTAAAAGAAAAAAAAAAAAAAAAAAAAAAAAAAAAAAAAAAAAAAAAAAAAAAAAAAGTAAGTAGATTTCGCTCTATCTTTTTTTTTTTTTTGAAAACAGATTTTGCTATATCTAAATATTCAAAAGTTAATAATTTAATGTCAAACATTCGTGGCATGTCACAATTTTATCTAATTATAGTATTTAATTCTAAAAATAATTAAGTACTTTTAATTTAGATATTAATTGATGGATATATTATGTTTGAACTTGCTTGTATATATGTATAATGCATGCATTATTCAACAATTAACATAACTACACTTTACTTTTTAACTTTAGAGCACTAAATAATTTACATATATTGTAAGAAATGTGTGAAATGTGATTCTTTAATTTAAGTCTCATTTACTCTATAAAAGTTGAATCAACATCTTATATTATCTTAATTTTTGGGGAAAACGAAAGGGGGTACCCAAGCTAGTAAACTAGCTCTCTTGACTCGTTCTCTGGACAACCATACGTGCTCTGTCAGCCTAAAAAAAATCCATCACCTCTTCGGGTGTCTCCATGATCTCAATTCAATCGCAACATTTTCTCAAGGCAAGTTTCACCAACTAATCAGCCACCTTATTGTACTCTCTCGGGACATGTGAAATTCTCATCTCCCAGTTTTTAAAAATCCACTCCTTACAACTCTGGATCATACTCTGAATCGAGCCCCTAGTCTCCAAATCCTTGTTGATCCAATCCACCACTTCCTGCGAGTCACGAAAAAACCACACCTTCTTTTCTCCTATTTCCCACGCCCATCTGTGTCCGTGTCCTTGGATGACGAGGGAAACCGCAGTCACTACCTAAGGGTGTACACATGATAAACTTCATTTATAACCCTAGTTGACAAGAGACCACATGGAGTTAAACGAGCCAAGCTATGAGTCATCCAGTTGAGAGTAGAACTTATAATTTTGTAATTACCAAATCAACCGTTTAATCAATTTGGCTAAGTTTACTCAATTGATACTTCACTATTGAGCACGTGGTCACCTGAACTTGGCCTGCTACGACTTTCGAATCGAATTATTCTTCTCTCAAAAGATTGAATCTTTAACCCACGCTCCGCATCCCTACCCGATAAAGCATTTAAGAAAATGTAAATCAGTGACTCAAAACTTAGTAGGGTAAGTGCGAACAAGGGATATCTCATAATCCTCATACCGCTGCCTAGGTAACTAGGTTCGAATTATTGACTTCCAAGTTCCCCGGCCTCCCTCCGCGACGCCCATATTCTCTTCTCCGTCTTTCAAATTTCAATGCTAGGAGGGAGTCTTTATGAAACTCGCGAGACCCATTTCTCGCCTCTTCACGAACTCTATATCCCCGGCGAAATCAGAGCGAGTATACCATTATTCACGCGCCGCCGTCTCTATCGAAGAGCTCCATGGACACCTCCTGAGAACCGAGCAACACACCGACTCATACGCAGTTTCTGATGTCATCAGGGCATATGCTCTCTCCCCAGATTCTCTGCACAAAGCCCGTTTCGCATTCGACCAAATCAAATGCCCAACATTGCCCGTCTGGAATTACATGATCCAAGGATTGTCGCAAAGTGATCGACCCATTGACGCGCTCCATATGTTTGAGAAAATGCGTAAACAGGGTCTGCACGGAAATAACCTGACTTTCATATTTATCTTGAAGACCTGCGGTCGAATTTCGGATTTTTTTAATGGGAAGGTAGTCCATGGTTGTACAATAAAGCTTGGGTACGAGTCTTATCTCTATGTTTCCAACGCTCTAATCAGCATGTATGCTTCTTGTGGTAAATTGGATGAAGCAAAGAAGCTTTTTGATGAAATGACAAACAAAGACTTGGTTTCTTGGAACTCATTGATTTGTGGGTATAGTCAGTGTAATAGGTATGATGATGTATTGAGACTTTTTGATGCAATGCAGGCTGTGAATGTTGAGGCTGATAGGGTGACTATGGTGAAAGTTGTATTGGCTTGTAGCTATATAGGTGGTTCTGAAACTACAGAATCAGTGGTTAAATACATTGAGGCAAATGGCATAGAGATTGATGTGTACTTGGGGAATACGTTGATTGATATGTATGGAAGGCGCGGATTGGTTGGTTTAGCTCGAAAAACTTTTGATAAAATGGTGGAGAGAAATGTAGTTTCTTGGAACACTATGATTATGGGGTATGCAAAAGCAGGAGATTTAAGTGCTGCAAGGGAGCTCTTTGATGCAATGCCTAAGAGGGATGTGATTTCTTGGACTTCTATGATCACAGGCTACTCTCAAGCTAAGAGGTTTTGTGATGCTATCAAGCTTTTTCAGGAGATGATGGCTGGTGGGGTAAGGCCTGATAAGATAACTGTGGCTACAGTGCTTTCTGCTGCTGCACATATAGGCACACTAGATGTGGGAGAAGCTGTGCATGATTATATACACGAGCATGGTGTAGAAATGGACGTTTATGTAGGGAATGCACTGATAGACATGTACTGCAAGTGCGGGTCGGTAGAGAAGGCTTCACGAGTGTTCGATGGTATGCAAGAGAAGGACTCGGTCTCGTGGACTTCCATTGTTGCAGGCCTTGCAGTGAACGGGTTCTGCTTTCGTGCCCTTCAACTCTTCTCAAAGATGGTGAGAGAGGAGAGCGTTAAGCCGACCCATGGAGCTTTCGTTGCAGTACTACTTGCGTGCACTCATGCTGGATTGGTGGATGAAGGAGTGGAGTATTTTGAAAGCATGGAAAAGGAGTATGGGCTCTTACCGGAAACTAAGCATTATGGATGTGTCGTTGATCTCTTGAGCCGTTCTGGGAATGTAGAGAGAGCGTATGAGTTTATGATGCGAATGCCAATGGCCCCGGATGTTGTGATGTGGAGAATGCTACTTGGGGCCTGCAAACTTCATAAGAATGTGAGTCTTGCTGAGATTGCTGCCAGGAAGCTTATTGAATTGGATCCTGGTAATAGTGGAAATTATGTTCTCTCATCCAGCACTTTTGCCAGTGCAGAGAGATGGGAAGATGCCATGAAAATGAGAGAATTGATAGATGAAGGTGATATACAGAGGCCACTGGGTTGGAGTTCAATAGAAACTAGGAATGCCAGTAACAAAGAAATTGTTCTTGGGGATTATACTCCTCACTGTGCAAGGAAATCTGTCTAGAGAATCAATCAGATAAAGCATAAAATATTTGGAGCAGATTTGCTTTTCACCTTCTTGTGGAATGGCTTCTTATGGGCACCAAGCACTGATTTTCCTACTTAATGGACCATTAATTTAGCAAATTATTAGGTGGACTTGAGTCCAAATGTTCACAATTTACATACTAAATGTTCACAATTTACATACTAAATGTTCACAATTTATATACTACGAACACACAATGTTAACATATATGTAATTAATTGCCTTGTTTTGTATTTACAAGTTTCTTTCAAATACTGCAGTGTATTGTTCACAAATTCCCTTCTACAGGGTCCATGATATATAACAACTCCTACAATTTACCAATCGTTATACCGTGCACCAGGGCGCACATAGCATCCGCACCTTCCAAAACGATGTCGTTTTGTTAATTTCGTGTATAAAATTTTGTGCATTTATTATATAATTATGTACATTCGAAACATGGGAATTTTCAGTTATAAAATTCTGTGTTTCCAGGTATAAAATTCTGTACATTCTATTATATAATTCTGTACATTCGAAACATAGATTTTTTTTTTTAAGAGTTAAGGGGGCGTTTGGTTCACGAAATGTTAGATTACCTTAGGAAATGTTAGATTGCTGGGAATGTTAGATTCTTATGTTTGGTTTAAAACTAAGATAACAATAATAAGATAAATTGATTAAAAAATACAAAGCCCAACATTAGTAATAAGACAAGGGAATGTGAGATTACCTAAGAAATTGGAAGGTATCTCACATTCCCTTCCAATAGCTAAAAACTTAATGCGGAGGTCATCTGACATTCCCTGAAAAAGTTATATAACCTAAACCAAACATGGGAATCTTACATTACCAAGCAAATATAACCTTGGTTATCTTATATAACCTGAACCAAACGCCCCCTAAGAGTTTATGTGTATTATGTTAAGAGTTTATGTATATTATGCATTATGTTAGATTATGTGTTATCCTTTCAAGAAAAATTATGTGTATTCAGTTATAAAATTTTGTGTTTTCAGGTATAAAATTCTGTGTATTCTATTATACAATTCTGTACATTCGAAACATGATTTTTTTTTTTAAGGAGTTAACAGCAAACACGCGAAAAGGTACAAAACGACGTCGTTTTGGGTCAGGGCGCACAATGCATTGTGGGTCCTAATGCACGGTATAATTTGTAATAATTTACTAATTTATCCCTCTACAATCCTATCAGACCAGGGTATAAAAGTCTCGAACATGTACCAAACATTGGTCCTCTCACTTAATGAGTCTACTATAAATTTACCCGCTTTACAATGCTCGGGCTAGGTTGTGGTGCCGGGCGAGAAATATTGCCTTTTATGGGAAGATTAGCTCTTCAGTTTTGTGTACAGAATTTATATTAAGCTCATAAATGAGAAGAATAAGCATCTGATGATTACAGGAGTGCAGTACACCATTAACAGAAATGTGCAATTTTTTGAAGAAGAGTAGAAAACAGGAATTTCACTTGCACTATCACTAATCACAGCCACAGGGAGCAGAGAAAGCTCTTAAGCAATGAAATGAAGAGTTACAACATCCTCAATATCAAAATAATTCAGGAAATGTAATCTGGGGTCGTATATCAGAGACATTAATAAGAGCCTCATTCGAAAATTACAAGAATACCATATTATTTCTAGATTTAAGGAAAGAACAGGAGAAATACACTCTTATACTCCCCAACCTTTCCTCGGAACAGGTACAAGGAGAAGGAGCCGCCTACACAAAACAAGCTAACGACTGCCATCGCTAACAGATCAAAACTGCTATTCCTTATCTTATGCCTTCTTCATGAGCTCATAAATGAGTGAAGGGGGAAAATATACAGACCATAACAATAGAAATACGTTACGGTAAATGAATTTAGTTGCCCCTTATGCTGCTGCTGTAGTCGTTTCAGCCAACCACTTCCACACTCGTACTTGACCTGATTCGTCACCCGTGAAAAACAAACCACCAGGGCCAATCTCTATGCAACGTATTGCCTCTTTGGAGAAGATCTTCCCCCTCTCAGAAAAGCTACAACATTTTTAAAAAACATATGTTAAATAAAGTAATGAGGGAAACAAGAATCAAGGAAACAGATATCACAAGAAGTCTACTTCAAAAACTTACGATGGAAGATCATACACACGAACTGTATTGTCATTGCAAGAGCAAAGCAGTACCGGCTTGGCCTCTGCATCATGCATTCCACACAGGGCTAGCACTCCCTATCAATAGATCCATGCATTAAATTCACAATCACAAAGATAATTACTCCATATAAAAAGTTCTTTTCTATTAACTACTAAAAGAAAATGGATGTTGTAATATGAAATTTATTCATTCTGTGAAAGAACAAATAAGATGCAATTCATTGAGTTGCACAAAATAAAAGAGCAGTTTATTGGCAGAAGAACAAAGACAAAACTTCAAGTGAATATTTCTAACACCAACCATAAAGAACAGACTATCAATCCAGGGTGAAAATCTAAAAACTTAGTCCAGATTTACCAACAAAAATGTCTCTGTTTGTGAGTTGACTAAAGAGACAGCGCAGAGTCATCAGATTCCTCCCTATTATGTATCTATTACACTAGTGTTACTGTTATTACTCTTATTACTTTTCTTTGGAAATCTAGGCAAATATAGCACATTGTGTACTCTGCCTGAAATGGAATTCTCAGTATTTAAATTATCTATACTAGTAGATAAATGCTATAGAGTTGACACTTTAATGAGAACTAACTGTGCATGAAAGGTCAATGCAATTAAGTAGACGGATCAGAACAATCATAAAGAATAGAAATTATTAAAGCCTACATGTTCTTCCTGGTGGGTGTACGTCACTTCCAAGTTCCCGCTCTCGTTAGCAACCCAGACTTTTACTGTTTTGTCCAAAGAACATGATAAAAGAAATTGGTCCCAACAAAGAAACGACATCACAACGCTGGTGTGATCGGTCAAAATCTGTAGGCACTGCAAAGTTTCAAGGCTCCATACCTGAAAACAGATAAGTAACAGTCAAAATAAATAAATAAAGAAAAATAAGAGATGCTGTGCTCTATGAAAAAGTTAGCACAGCAAAAGTACTCTAAAAGCTCGGTCATAACAAATCAGAGATAACATACTCTTATAGTGTTATCCATGGAACCAGAATACAGTCTATTGGCTCCTACAACCAGTGACACAACATGATGAGAGTGACCCTTGAGTGATGCAGCTGGCTCAAAACAGTTGGTGGCCACATTAAATTTCCATGCTAATATCCCATCCTGCAGCAACATTGTAGTTCTTGTTTACATTATGAGAAAGAAATGCCAATGTGAGACTGGATCTTAAAACCTAATCATACACAAATTACCTTTGTACCAGCAAAGAGCATATCATTACCCACAACAAGGGAATAAACTTGCCCAACTGGACCAGTTAAATTAAGGTCTGCTGCTGTTTGAGCATTCCACGCCTGTAAAATACGTAGAGAATGGTAACACGTTAACCTTAAATTTCACTTTTGATTGTAACCTTCAATTTTTACAACATGCAGTTAGAATGACCAGTTTACACACTAAGCCTTACCTTGACAAGATTTGTAAGGCCAACAAATATCCATGGCCCTTCACTTAGCATACAACCTACTTCACCATTTAGATTGACAGCCCCTGCACACTGTAAAAAAACAAGAAAAACCAAAAGAAAGAAATTAATTGATTACTCACACATAATTTGCAAAATATGTAGGGGCATTAAAAATGACTTCTTCAAGGTTTATACTTTTTGAGTTAAAAGTTTTAAGTTCAGTAAGAATTTAAGACTAGTTTGTCAAAACCAAACAACTCTTTGACAATTTGCATCCTTTTATGTGAAGCAAGAGTGTCAGATATCGATACAAAATGAATTTCAGCAGCATAGTAGTTCTTTCTGAGTCATATAAACAAAAGCACAAAGTCCACATTGCAAGAAATCAATCAAAAGAACACTTTTCTAATTCACCATTTTGCAGCATCATGTGAACAATTTGAAGACATGGGAAAGAAAAATATAACAACCTGCCCTGATTGGCAATCCCATACTCTCACGGTCTTATCAGAACTTCCTGAATAGAGCTTGTCTGAGCCAGATGGTAAAGCAATTCCACTAACAACCTGTTGCAAAAAACTTCGAATTAGACCACCAGCATCGACACTAACATCAATGAAAAATAAACCCTTTCAATAAACAAACAAACAACAAAGCTTGAATTCATTAAACCAGGGACAAACACATAGATTGTACTGAAATAAAATCAGTATTGCTATGAATAGGTACAACTTTACTAAGGTAAAACAGTAATGTACACAATGTCATTAATTTATCAATTAAGGATAAAGCATTGGTTTCAACACCTTTTGGTGGCCTTCAAGTGTTGTCAACAACGAAAAGCAGTTCCCCGTGGTCCAGGAATGCAAAAACCGGCAGCTATCGCCGAATTTACAGCTCCCTTGAAGCCAATACGCACAAATTTTCTCCGTTTTCGTCACAGCTCTAGCGTTGTTGCCGCCGCCATGAGCCGGCGTTCGACCCCAATTGTTATTAAAATTCGTATTCCTCCGCGGCCCGCCCCGGTAATCATCGGAGTAGCCATGAGAGCGCTTCGACGACGCCGTACCGTTAGTCAATGAGCCTTGTGCCTGAGGCGGCGGCGCAGCCAGTTCCCTGTGCAAGAACGGGCACGGAAATCTATCGCACCGACCAGCTCGCCAATGGAAGCAAACTTTCTGCTGCTGTTTACTACTACCGTTATCGCCTTGTGAAGGGCCAAGCCGCCGGAAAATTCGCTTGCTTCCATCAATATCCATAGCCCCTAATTAAGGTTTTCTTTGTGATCACTGAATCGCAGATCGCGTGAATGGATATAAAATCTGGGTTTGATCATGCGAAGACTCGATTGAGCTAAAGATTGAGATTAAAAACCAATTAATTTCAAGAAATCAAAGGATTTTAGGGTTTTCGAGACGATGAAATTGAAAACCCTCCCCAAATTTCTACTTGCAAGA